TGAGACGCAGCGCGACCTGCCTGATATCTTGCACTGTGTTCCAGTTGTGTATACCCAGCAACACTGTGAAGCGTACAATGTCTGCTACAGTTGGTGCTTGATCGCTGTGGAGAGAACAGTTCTCGGTCACCAAGTATTTTTTTCTTCTTTCCTGGCAAAATACTTCTGAATGAGACCTTGGTGTTCCTGATGGTTAGCATTGCTGCCAGTTACAGAGATTTACAATTCAGTGTGGTCTCAGAATCCTGAACATTTCTGATATTCCCCATGTTCACAAAGTTTTGTCATACATGAGGGGAGTGGTGCTGGTAGGGGTGGGAAGTTAATGGGTGAGAGTGACCCCGTGGATAAGCAAGACACCATGGAGTTGTATGCAGGGAGCAAATGGAAAACACTACATGTTCTTAAACTTGATATTAGATGGACTGAGAGGCAGCTTAGCCTCAGGATAGGAGGCCGAGTGGCCCCTGGGCTGGTTTGATAATGATAGGAGAGATAGACATCACTGCCCCTGCTTGAAATCGAACTCCTACCATCCAGAATGCAGCTAGCAGTTTTACCTACTGATCTGTCCCTGCTGTGATATGGAAGGCACATAGAAACATATGCACTTGACAACTTTGACACAAGTGACCAGTGCCTTACACCTTTATCATTGTTTCTGAACCAGTGGGACTTCAAAGCTGAGCAGTGGCATATAAGGTCTCTAAAGTAAGGTAAAGTATAGGTATGGGGGAGTGGAGGTATAGCTCCACCAATCTTGACCTCAGCACTGGATGGAGGTGAGTTGTCTTCTTCATGCAGTGGTCATTTTACCTGCAGGGAAAGAGCTGCCAATATCTATTGTGTAAAGGCTTGGTGAACCCCAGGGCCATCCTGGATGTTGTACAGTAAAGAGAAATCTCTCCTATTGAACCATAGCTGTTGAGCAAACTGCTTTACCAGCTGGGCTCTCCTGGATGTTCCCCAAAATAAATTCTATTAATGATCAATATAATAGTGGAATGTACATAATTATAAAAATACAGTTCTTGGGAAAGACAGAAGCTTTGTTTTTCCTGCTGTGGGGCAGAATGATCAGTGGATGCAGGATGCAGAAGATTGAGAATTGCCAGTCTAGACCACTGAGCCCAGGGCAGGGAAATATGTACACTTACAATAACAAGCAGTGAGCCGCAGTCAGCACCCACTCATGAGTGATGAGGGATCCCCCACATCGGAAAGAATAATCAAACATCAGTGCTGCGACCCAAGGGAACACATTGGGTGACTCCATACCCCCTATTATCCTGCTTGTTGAGACACCTTTCGGCCGTGTGATGCTGGAAAAACGTTGCTGCTTTGTTCTGAATGTTGGAAATGAGTTCAACGTCACGTTAGGTTTCGGTGTTGATGATGATAATGAGTTTTCTTTTGAATCCATGCTTGGGTACAAAGCATTGGCAATGCCACAGGCTTCCACCACTGCAAAAGGAGAACTAAAGTTAATCTGATGTGTAAAAGGTACATATATGCATATGTAGTGGCCTTATATGAGCCTTATACACTTTTAGATGTTAATAAAGTACAAGGTTTTGTTTCTTAGAAAGCAGCCACTTGGAAGATCAAGAAGAAGATGACCATTATGAAAATATGTTGTACAGAACTGTGTTTTACCACAGGCTTTGAATATTTGGGTTCAGAGACTAAATTAGTTTGTGCTCTTTCTACCAAACATGATTAACTCTCTTTTGGGTTGTGTTGCCATGTGTTGATGTTTGAAAAGAATGTATTGCCTCCATCCACATGGTCCAGAAATAACCTGAACAAGGAGCAAGTAGAGAAGATGGAGGGTTTACTTTTCTACATGGCTACATGGTGGTGCATCCCAAAAGACAGTAGTCTCTATAGTCAGCTCTGAGAACCTCTGATCTCACAAGTTTGTTTATTTATTGCCACATTTTCCTATGCATTCAGTAAAGAAGCCATTTCATCACAATTACCTGGAACATGTACAGATGTGCAGTTAATTTGAGCCAGTCGGATGTTCCAGAAAGCATTGGGACTCTGTGCAGTTACCACAACCTGCACCTTACTCGTGCCCCTCACATTGATGACAGCTGAACAAGAGCATTAAGCTTTAGGTGTATGTTGGTACAAGTAAACTAGACATCATTGCATTTAACCCTTTCACTATGATAGATGGAATATCTCTGATGTGCAGTCCTGAACAGTGTGCATGTAGACAGTACAGTATTGCTAAATATACAGTGCTTTAAGAGTCTACCAAATCTTGTAGGAACATTAGTAAAATGATTTTTATTACGAGAAAAGGTCCTATTAACACGAGTCAGATGGCAGTTTTTATTTAAAAATGTCATGAAAACTTGAAGACTAAAATAGATGTTAGATAATAATGAAATATATTACAGATATTTTTCAAAGTGTCCATCAGTGAATTGAATGCACATTTGAGCACAGTATATTGGAGTCTTTGGCAGCAATGTGCATGTGTTATGCTTTTTTGCTAGTAAACCGACCAAGGAACTGAGGCAGGTTCGATTTTTAATGATTCTGACACAACTGAAGACTATGTAGCATCAGATATATGTAGTTGATGAATTGCAAAAGGATTTGGAAGGAAATGGTTGTGACTTAAATGAGGTACTGTTCCAACATTCACTTGGAGAGACTGAGGAAAACCACAAATAACTATATCCCAGTCAAGATTAAAACCAATTTTCTCCTGAGTACAAATCTTAGTGATAGCGCTAGACCAACCTGTCTGGTGTTTGGTTTTCTGTTGCATGTAGTCTGTATGAATGAGATGGTATATGCATTTGATGTAAATCATGAGGCACTTAACAGGTTATTTGGTAGACAAAGGGCTGCAGTGGGATATTCTTTTGTTATGTGTGTCTATACAGACAAATGTTTCATAATTTCTGTCTTTAAGCATTCTGTTGCTGTTTCTTTCACATATATGAAAACGAGATATCAGTTTTTCCATTACACAACATGTATTCTGTCCCAATGTTTACAAAGTGGGTGGCATGTTCTAGCACGTATGTACCATCTTAATGTCATCAGTTATCTCAAGGCATGCATATGCTTTATATCAAGAGATATGCTTGTATATATTTAGTATGATAAGTACATTGGCATTCTAATTGCATATTAAGCTTTAAAAATGTTATCTATAAAATAACCAGAAAATAAATTATGTTGGATTTTAGGTTATCATCGATAAGAAAGAAGAGTGTGATCTGTGTTGTAATGCTGTGTAGTTTGGTAGCTGTCCAGTGACATTTCAGAGGAACTTTGGTGGTCTGCTACTGAACTATACAGCATTATAACACAGATGATCATAATCTTCAAAGGTAAATTAATTATTAAAAAAGTTGGTACATAGTATTAACAGATGTACAAGGCAATTGGCATATATTACTGTGGATGTTGTAGCTAATTTAGCTGTACACAGTATTACTTGTTTATTTTTCTGATTCACCACTAGAAGTTTTTTGTTAATCTGCATGTTGGATGATCTGGGGGTTAACACAATTGGCACTGGCTGCATAGGTGTATGTGACATGTTGCTTGAGTGGTAGATGGTACAACACTATGGAAGTTAAGAATCATCATATTTATCTCAACCAGACATACAGGGTGTCTTTAGGAGATCAGTTTTGGGCATTTTAGAGACAAGACAAGTATGATCTGAACTTACTGGACATTCCTTGTATCAAACCGCAGAAGGGCACATTGTATCCATCCAAGGTCTGTTTATACTGTAATATTGTTACTGAATCTTGTGAACAGGCCCAGTGCACGGCAGGAGAAAGTATGGCTTCAATGAACTCCACCCTAGAAATAAATTATGAATTGTACATAACATAATTCTTGTGCATCTACTTTTTTTTTTGTTTATTTTTCTTGAAAGCTATAAGACTTGAGAAAAGTGTATTTGGTATAAAATGTTTTATTTTTCTTGACAGCTTTTCTCTAAAACGAATTTTGGCCAGATAAATGTTTAAGAGCTACATTTATTATGTGTACAGAAACATGTGTATGACTTCATATAGTGTCCAGTGTCTGAAGTTAGCCACAATTGGAATTTGTTAACACATTTTAGTAACCATTTTGAAGTCTGAAAAGGAGAACTAACTAATTGCATGGAGTTCAGTCTTTCTTGAGAAGCTAATCATTGCTATGTTGGGATTTTGGACTTTATCCATCGTCCTGGTTTTTAAGATAACAAATAAAAACACAACGTTTCGGAAACTGGATCTGTTTCCGTCCTCAGGTGAAGGAAAACACCTATTCAGTTGGGTCCCTTAGAAAGCGCTAGCCTCAATCAATCCAGTGATTGAGGCTAGCGCTTTCTAAGGGACCCAACTGAATAGGTGTTTTCCTTCACCTGAGGACGGAAACAGATCCAGTTTCCGAAACGTTGTGTTTTTATTTGTTATCTTAAAAACCAGGACGATGGATAAAGTCCAAAATCCCAACATATCAATGATTAGCTTCTCAAGAAAGACTGAACTCCATGAAATTAGTTAGTTCTCCTTTTCAGACTTCAAAATGGTTACTAAAATGTGTTAACAAATTCCAATTGTGGCTAACTTCAGACACTGGACACTATATGAAGTCATACACATGTTTCTGTACACATAATAAATGTAGCTCTTAAACATTTATCTGGCCAAAATTCGTTTTAGAGAAAAGCTGTCAAGAAAAATAAAACATTTTATACCAAATACACTTTTCTCAAGTCTTATAGCTTTCAAGAAAAATAAACAAAAAAAAAAGTAGATGCACAAGAATTATGTTATGTACAATTCATAATTTATTTCTAGGGTGGAGTTCATTGAAGCCATACTTTCTCCTGCCGTGCACTGGGCCTGTTCACGGGATTCAGTAACAATATTACAGTATAAACAGACCTTGGATGGATACAATGTGCCCTTCTGCGGTTTGATACAAGGAATGTCCAGTANGTGTTTTGGAGGACACTGCTGCTACCACTTTCAGGGTTGAAGAGAGCCAAGCAAAAGTTAATTGTTGCTTGTTTGCTTGGTTTGTTGTTTGACACTGAAGATAGAGGCAGGGTGTACCTCCATTGGTTAACTTATACCATGCTCATCCCAGGTGATAGTCATGGCTGTGAGAACCCCAATCAGGGACAAAATCTGTGTTTACAGACTTTATGAGACAAATGATGGCCAAGGTTTCTCTTTCTTCTTCAGTCAAACCTTTAAAAATTTTGGTTCACTTATGCTTTGCACGCTTAAAGTACAGTTTAGTTCCTTATTTCTGTTGAATGCAGACTGTAAACAGTGCCCCAAATGTAGATCTAGCATATGACAATTATTAGATAGAATTACGTGCATTAAATAATACAAGGAGATCAGTGTAATATGAATAATATGAACCATACCACTGCATGATGCATACTTACAGGAACAGCATACACCTCTCGAGGACATCTGTGGTTCAATGCAGTAACCTATAGATTCACCCCCTGACTGGTCACAGTATTGCCTTGAGGTACAGGTCCCCCTCTCACATGGTACAATGCCCCCAAATATGCCAAACATGTCTGAAATGAAGGTTTATAAAAACACATATCTCTAAATAACATATAAATCAAAATGAACACTGGTCAGTAAAGGTAAAGTTGTCCCTGTGCTTAACTAATTAAACACTGTGCCATGAAGGCGTATGGGGGAGTGGTTGTATAGATGCACATTTTCTTGACCTCGACACTAGTTTGAGGTAAGTGGTCAGCTTCACGTCCCGGGAACACTGGTCAGTGATGTCAAAATTTAATCAAATTATTACTGATCACAAACATTGTGAATTTTGGTTAATTATTTGGGAAATGCAGTGGAGCCCCCATTTAATGTGCATGAATTTAAGAATTCCTCATTTAGGTGATCATATCCCCTGGTCCCTAAGGAAACCTGAAAGTGGGGTTTCACTGTGTGTGTGTGTCTGACATTTATGTTGGGCAAACTATGACTGGGGCAGGGATTCCTACAAGAACTGAAGAATTCCCCTTCAAATCATCACTCTCTAATAATCCATACTCATTTATCATCATCCTCTGAAATGTGTACCTCGCATACCTGGTGGGTTAGCACAGTAATAACATATCTACTGGTTCAACTCGAAGCCTCAGATATCCTAACTGCGAATTCTCGCAATTTTCCCCAGTTACTTCAGTTGAATTCACAGGTAGAACATTAGAGAAAGGTCACAACCACTCCCTTTCACCGAGAAGGTTGGCATAGCGGTAATGTTCTAGGTTTATATTTGGGAGGTACTCGATTTGGACACCGGCTATCCTGACTGAGGTTTTTGGTGGTTTTTCCCAGTCGCTCCAGGGAAATAGTACCTCAATTAGGTTACTACTGCTTCCTTCCAAATCCCTTGCAATTCACTGTTCATGTATCACCCTACCCTTTGACACTGTATTTTCTTAGGTACTGACAGTGATGTAAAAGACTTATGCTCCCCGAAGCTTATCGCCCCCAACCACGTGACTTCTGCTTGTGAGACATAGAAATTCTTACTGTTTTGCCTCACATATCCAAAATTCATGTTAGTGGTGACATAACTTCTTGCCATTTTGGAGACGCTCATTGGCTGGACGCCATGCCTGAAAACAAGGGAAATAACTATGTCAGATGTCAAGTTGGCTCAAGCGGTAATGTTGCTGACTTGCATTGGAGCTGCCTAGTTCGCATCTCAGCTGGGACACTGGTTATCCTGAATGAAGCGTTTTGTGGCTTACCTCAGTCCTTCCAGGCATATGCGGGATCACTGCCATGAGAAAACCCTCAACCGCCTGTATGTAGTTTTGTTTAACAACGTCAGCAACTTAGGCTACACAGTTTCGAATGATTGGATTATAGTGAACAATGGAAAGGTCCTCTATTTAACTACCTGATCAAGTACCTGGTTTTCATCTGACATGGAGAAAACATATAACTGCAAATATTTCCATGAAAGGAATGTCAGCTATAAGAAATACAGGTTGAATTAATTCTAATTCTGTTTTGTCTTTTTGAGTTGGCTTTGAATGGATTATTTGATTTGCGATTTTATATTTCAAAATTCCGAATTAGCTCCTTAATTTTCTGGGCACTTTAATGTACATTATATGCAAAACAAAATTTACCTTGTATATCCATGTTTAGATTCTTAATACATAGCATATGAGGGTTCTTCAAATGAAACTCGCTTGGGGATTGTTCCAGGGAAAGTACTAGAAACAGCTGAAAATGGGCTCAGTGGATGTTGAGGCAGGCATTCCAGTTAGGCATCAGTTGATGGATTCCGTCCTCAAAGAACTCCCTACACTGGTGCTCGAACCACTGCACCACCATCATTGTGAATTCTTCATCCATCCAAACACATGAACGGGTTTCATTTGAACAACCCTCAATTTTATAAAGCACAGGATTTTAAAAGTTTCTGTATTTTTAAATGTGGAACTTTAACCACTGTGCTGTAATGAAAATTTCAGAAGAATCCATATAAAACTTTCGAACAAATGATGGCACATACAGCGTATTAAGAAGATTGTTTGCTAGCATGTGGCTGCTTACAATGCAGGTGTATAGAACCATTTAGTCAGTCAATCAAGTGCACTCACCAACATGACAGCAGGAGGAAGAGTCCAGGAGGTATAAGGACCATCACCCTTGCCTCACCATCTTCCCACGTCACCTGCACAGCAACTGTTCAGAAAGAGCACTAAGGTGGCAGTGAGAGGTGGTACCATCAGGAAATGCCACTAGAAAGCTGCCACTAGTTTGATTTATGGCCACATGATTGTCTCTTGTTTATTGCTGAAGGAAACTCACGTGTAGATAACCACTGAATGAGTTCTGTAAAGTTATCTCTGGGCTCAGTTAATTAAGCACCATGCCATAAAGACGTATGGAACGGTGGAGCTGTAGCTCCACCATTCCTAACCTCGGAATTAGATGGAGATGAGCGGTCAGCTTCATGTCCCTGCCGCTTTACCCCTGGTACGTGAGTTCGGATTTTTCCTCCAGTGCTTCTGAGTAAATTGATAGAATTTACCGACGCTTTTGGTCATCAAATCACGTATGACCCAATCTCTGCTTCACGCTGGTTTATCCCTTCGCTTATTCTTCGACCGTGAAGACATGTTCCTCCGAAACGTCGGATGACCCAACGGGCTACACGGCGTTATATCCCAGAAGATAGAACTCTTCATATCCACCACTGTGTTTACCTCAAATCCTACAGCATTTTTATTTTACTCGTGGGGTGGAGTTAGACTGAGTCCATTTGACACGACGACAGCAGTTGGGCCTATTGTTCCGGCCCCGGACGGTAGTTAATGTGTGAAGCAGCTGGTGGACTGAGAATTGACAGGGGAAACCGAAGTACTTGGAGAAAACATGACCCAGTACCGCCCTGCCACAAAACCCACATGACCTGACCTGAGATCGAACCCGAGCCGCCGTGGTGTGGTCTCAGACTCGAGACCCCCGCCAACCTGGATGATCAGAAAATTTCAGTTCATACCTCACAGGGAACACTGTGTCACCACAGCAACGGTCAATCGATTAATGGTGAGTAAAGAAATAATCATTTGTTGTGAGAGTCTTGCGAAATGTAAATACTCGTGCGTGGGCAAAATGCAGAGTTATTTATGTTAAAGCAAGTGGTACACATTGTTACCACTGTGATTTACAGTGTTAAGGATAGCACTTATCGACATTTTCACCATGTTGACGAAAATTAATAAAATGATCAGTCTGAATATGATTACGGTACATATCGCGTCTCCTCAGGCAAAGATCCGAAAACTGTTTCCGGCGATTTAACTACGGGGGACAACACACATCTGTCCATTGACCCCGCATAAGGTCAAGTGCCCCACTTTCACTCCAGTGTCATAGGGGCACTTTCATATGCGGGCATTTAATCTCCATGAAACGAAAGGATTCTTATTACCTTGAATAAAATGAAACCACTCGATAACTTTTCGATTTTATAGCTCAGTCAGTGTAGTGGGATTAGGCTATGGGCTGCACAAGGTTCGATTACGTACTGCTTCAGATATTTTTGTCTACGTCACAGCGTCCAGAGGAGCCGGGATAGCTCAGTCGGTATAGCGACTGGCTACGGGCTGGACTGCCGAGGGTGTCGGTGTTGGAGTCCCGGTAAAGAATTTTCTCTTCTCCGCAGCGCCCAGGGCCCAGACCGGCTCTGGGGCCCATCCAGCCTATCCAATTGGTACCGGGGTGTGAAGATGACCACTCACCTCCAACTAGTGCCGAGGTCAAGAAAACGTGGATTTATACATCCACTTCCCCATGTGTCTATGGCGCAGGGCATCATTACCTTATCCCGGCTCCGTTTATTGATTTCGCGTAAAAGTCGGCGACAATAATCCAACGCTAAGACGGGATAACTTAACTTCTCGAAGGTTACGAATCGCACTACAGAGGAAACACTACTCTGACCTCTATGCCTATGAGATTTCTTTTTGCGTGAACTCAGTTTGTTTTGTAGATTATTTTGTGACGTCAGTAGCTTGAGTATTAGCGTCCAGTGATATGATGTCTGGTGAATGATGGACTGTAAATGACCCGTAGAAAGAGCCCTCAATACCCATTGGGTAGGATGGAGGGTGGGCCCCAGAGCCGGTTTGGACGACGTGGAGAAGTGAAACGGACTCGAACTCCGACCTCTTGGCTGTCCAGCCAGTAGCCAGTCACCATACCGACTGCGCTATTCCGGCTCTGCAGCCGGGGTGACTCAGTCAATATAATGATTAGTCTATAGGCTGGACGACCGAGGAATCGAGGTTCGATTCCCAACAGGAATAAGAGTTTTTATATTCTCCACAGCGTCCAGACCGGTTCTGAGTCTCGCCCACCCTCCCTACGGCTTGGGCATAAACAGCTCTTTCCTTGAGGGTAATTCAGACAGGGCAAGAGGCTCACCATTAAAGTCCATCTAGTGCTGAGTTTAAGAACGCATGGTATGGTGCTGTATTAAGCAGAGGGACGACTTTACCAATACCTTTTAGTTCAGTAAATGAGTGACCAGCAACTGGGTGTTTTGGATTTGATTCCTGTTGAGGATTCTTCACTGTCATATCCAGAACAGCCCCAGGATTCACTCAGTATCAAATATTTGTTGTAAAGAGGCCAGAGCCTCATCTAGTGCCAGTCAAGATTGGGTGGAATTTACCTCCACATCGCCTATGCATCTTCACTGCATGATGCATGCAAAAGAGCAGCTACTGCAATATACCCAAAGATTAAAATGTCTAAACTCAAGCTTACACGTCGCTTTGAATAGTAGAAGTAACTACAGACAGGGACAGCTTAATTCACTCATCTGATAGGATTCAGCTACAGAGAATTCAAATGGAATGATGAAGTGCTCAAACCAATATTGTTAAGCCCCTATAGTGATAACTATCAACCGGCTACAGAGTGTAACCATTCTTTGCCTGGGATAAGGTTGCCTTCCTCGGCAATACAACATGTTCAGTTTTTAGATGAATTGTATGTATTTACTTCTGGTTTATTTACTGCCGCTATCAGGAGCTCAGACTGTCAAATAGCAGAGTGATTCATGAATGATTCTTTATAAATGATCTGGAAAGAATTGGTCTTGGCAAAATTTGAGGTACTATCTTTGCATTCATGTGGAGGGACTGAGAAAAACCAAGAAAATCCTCAGGATGATCAGCTTTCACACTTAGGATCTCCCAAAAATGAAACATTACCTCCTCAGCCAACCTGCTTAAGAGACGAACCATACTGACATGAGCGAAAATCAGCCTAAAAGTGATACGTGCTACACATGACATTGCCTTCCTGTGTTGCCAGTGACTGAACAGGGAACTGGAAATTTACCACTCCTTGTCTACAGTATATACACTAATGATATTCCTCAGTAACATGGATTGAAGATCAGTATTGTGAAACACTGCATCCTTTCCATTTCTGGTATCTGGACGCTGTTGTGTTGAACTCCTACAGAAATGTAATTGGGGGTGTGGGGGGGGGGGGGGGGGGNTGAACTCCTACAGAAATGTAATTGGGGGGGGGGGGCTGGAAGTTGGTAACATAGCCATGGAGAAAGTGGGAGGAGCGTGTGTAAGCATACTGCTAGCCTGCGAGGTGGCACAGTGGCAGGAAGCGTGACCAATAAGAAACAGAAGTCACATGCGAGACATGAGGTTGTTATCACACTGTTGCCTTGAATGTGACGCAAGGTATTCCAGTACGCTGTTCCCACCACAGGCAACAGATTCCTCTGAGATATTGGTAATGGTGTACTGGACTGTGTTGTCACATCCTAGATGACATGCAAAAAACTTACATTATTATTTAGCTCAGTCAGCATAGTACCCAAACTATGGGCTGGATAACCAAGGAATCAGGGTTCAGTTCCCAGTTAGTGATTTTCTCTTGTCCACAGAATAGAGACTGGCTCTGGGGCTCACCAAGCCTATCGAATGAGTACAAGAGGCTCTTTCCCTGAAGGTGAGGGAACCAGGATGTGGAGCTCACCATTCATCTCTGTCTAGTGCCAAAGTTAAGAATGTATGAAGCCATAACTCCACTCCCCCATCAGTCTTCATTGCAGTGCTTATTTAAGCAAAGGGACTTCACCATTTATATACTACATATAATTTGTACGCAGTGTGTACACGGAGTCCGGATGGCTCTCAGTCAGCATAGCAATGGGCTTTGGGCTGGACAGCCTGGGTTCAATTCCCAGCAGGGTCAAGAGATTTTTCTCTTCCCCACAATGTACAGACCAGCTATGGGGCCCACCAACCTTCTAGCCAATGGATACCAGGACCTCTTTCCTTGGGGGCAAACAGGCCAGGACATGAAGCTAACCATTTATCATGATCTACTGCCAAGGATAAGAATCTGCTCCCCCATACACCTTCATGGCATGGTGCTTAATTTTACTTTTTTTTATATATGAGACAAACTCCGTCTTAAGTGCAACAATTTAATTGTAGTTCTTTCTTCTTCCCTTCCTCCACACTACATGTTTCGGCCCTAAATGGCCATCATCAGGTGTGTATTCTTACGTAGCTGCTACACTGCCCGTAGTTTAAAATTTAAAATCACCAGTCTTTCCTGTTGTATGTATGTATAAAATCTTTGTTAACCTACACGCGTCAATTTGATTTCTAAAATTGGCACTTTTTTAAAACTTCAATTCAAATTAAAATGTCTAAAAATTTTCTGTTCTTTTTCTTTTTCCAAATTTTTAAAAATTAAAATTTCTCGGGGTACACGCCCTATGTCTATAGTGCTGCAGCGGCCACTTCTTGTTTTATCGCTGTTCAGGTATTTTCTGTAATATACAAATATTCATATTACTATCTTATCTTATCTTATCTTATGTTATTCTTATATGTTTATACTGTTATTTGTACTTACTCTGTGTAGGCTCTCTCTGTGTGTGTCGCTGCTTATCTTTAATATGTGTGCTGTCTGGTGTATTGTGTGCTGTGTTTTATGTTGGTGAGTGTTGGAGGGGGAATGGGTAGAGGGGAGAGGGAGGTACCGTTAGTCTGTATAGATTT